AAGCTCAACTCTGCTACTAGCTGTATGACCAAGGGCAAAGATGACCTCTGAGTCTCAGCCACTGCTAGATAATCAAGCTCAGAACCCCCTTTCCACCCATTTCTCATGAGGACTTGATGAAGTGGAGTACATAAAGTGCTTAGCACATAGTTCTCAGCTAATGGTACTTGTTAATTCTATTTCTTACAATGACATCAAGCAAACCACAGCTTGGAGAGCGTAGATATTTATCCTTGCATTTTCATAAGGATGAAAGCTAGTGAACAGCCTAAAGATCAAATTCCAAGCAGGGCTAGGTTAGATCCTCAGTACATATACAACAGGATCTTCTATATCCAATAACAGGGTCATGAAGACACAGGGAACAGCCCATAGGAGAGGAGATTGCAAGAGAGGCAGAGTGTCAAGAAATACATATACGGGGCTGGGAAGGTGGCTCAGTGGTAGAGCGCTTGCCTTGCATGCATGAGGCCCTGGGTTCAATTCCTCAGCACCACATAAACAGAAAAAAAAAGCCGGAAGTGGTGCTGTGTCTCAAGTGGTAGAATGCTGGCCTTGAGCTAAAGAGCTGAGGGACAGCACCCAGGCCCAGAGTTCAGGCCCACGACCGGACCAAAAAAAAAAAAAAAAAGAAATACATATAGCAAAGAGACTGGAGGGGAATCTACAGGTATGTAACATGTATCTCAACTAAAGAGGGACTAAAAGGAAATTTTTTTCTTTTTTCTTTTTCATGTCTAGGATGTCTCTAAGGCTGCTGTATTCTTTGAACAAACAAATAAACAAAAGTACTTGAAAAGCACAAACTTCCTATATTCTAGCCAGAGAGGTGAAAGGAACTATTCTCACTCGGGATGCAGCCAGCCAAAGCCCCTCTGTGAGTGGAAGAAGACAAGGGACCAAGTTGGTCAAAAGGGCTGAACTGTACAGGCAACTGGGACTAGTCCCCGAAGAGCCACCATGGCCCATGAGCCCTTTGGGACTCAGAAGACAGCCTTGTGGCTAGCTTGTGAAGATGAACTAGGTGATGGATGCATGTAATGCTCTTCTTCCATATCTGAGCTACTCTCTGAGGGCCACTGCCTCTGGCCCCACTCCACCTCTCAGCAGGGATGAAATCCCAGGCTGCCTGGCAAAGAGCAGCACCTGGGGTGGGTCACAGGCACTGGTGGAGCACAGTGCTGCCTTTGTGAGCTGGCTATTGGCTCTGTCTAGGTGCCACATTGGATGGAAATTCTCTAGCACCTGGGAGCCAGAAGGGAAAGAACTCTGGGCTTTGCAGCTGGGGTGCTGGCTGGGAAACACAGGGTCAGGCATCGTGGTTTCACTTCTCAGTGTAGTGTGGAGGCCTACTTAGATCCTTTTACTTTTTGGGATAGGGTCTTTCTTTGTAGCCTAGGCTGACTTGACGCTTGCCTCTGCATCCCAAGTGCTGAGATTGCAGGTATGTGATACCATGCTTGGCCCAGAAGTAGGTTCTAAACAAAGAGCTTGGATACTGGAGAGTGAAGGACCAGACCTGTCAAGAGACAGCTGACTCTACTGAGCCTTTCCTTTAGCCTCAGCTTCTCCATCGGCTACAGGGGAGCCACCACCTACCTCGCAGAATCTTTTTCTTTTGGTTGGTCATGGGTCCTGACCTCTAGACGTGGGCACTGTCCCTCAGCTCTTCAGCTCAAGGTTAGCACTCTACCATTTGAGCCACAGTGCCACTTCCAGCCTTATCTGTGTATGTGGTACTGAGGAATCGAACCCAGGGCCTCATGCATGCGAGGCAAGCACTCTACCACTGAGCCACCTCCCCAGCCCCCTTGTAGAATCTTAAGGAATGCTCTTTCTCTTTCCCCAAGGAGACTCATTAAGTACCCATGGAAACTACTCTGGTAGCAGGAGGACTGAGGCTTTGGCTTCTGACTCTAGGCTCCAAAGAACCTAGGGGAGGGCTGGTAGGCTGGGCAAGTCATCTTAGGACATGGGGCTGTGTGGCTGGACAAAGACAGACTACAAATGAACCCCCATAGACCTTGTGCCAAGGAGGGCAGCAGAGCATTAGGACACAGGAACCAGAACTCTGAATCTCAGCCTTGCCATTCTATGTAGAGGGCCTAGGAAGAGCAGATGCACTATGGGAGCCTGAGCCCCCTGTCTGTGGAAGCAGAAACCGCTAGCACCAGAGGGCTGAAGACATGAAGGGGCTGGGCTGGGCTTCCTGCTGGCTGCCATCCAGCTAAAGCATCTGAATAATAACGGGAGGAGCTACCGCTTCATGGAGAGAAATGTAACTGCATATTAATCAGCGAATGCTAACGGAAAACAACAACCAAACAACAGGGAATGTTTCCCTAGAAATCTTTTGAATGCATTCTTCTAAAGGCCAACAAAAGGCCAAGAGGGGGCTAGGAAATTTACCCTTGATAGAGGAGAGTCTTCGTTCTGAATGAGTACATGCTAGTCTACGGGATTGAGCGTGGAAACCCCTGCTGCAGGCCCCCTAGTGTGCATCTAACAGGTTCTCAGAGATATTTGCTGAATGAAAGACGCATGAACGCACAGATGGAGCAACGGACGGGTGGACGTCAGCTGGAAGGAGACTTTGGTGATGGACTAGCCAGAGAGCCGCCAGCCGCCACTGCCGACCTTGGTGGGTCCCAGAATGCTGCAGGGCAGGGGACGCTTGTATTCTTAATCAGCCCTGGCTTCCTGTCCACCAAGCTGATGACGGAATATACTGCTGGAAGTGACGGTTGGGGCAAGAGATCAGGAAGACTGAGTCGCCCTCCTCAATTTCAAAGATCCCACATACTCTTCTGCTGCCCCAAACTTCCAAGTTTCAGATTCACTTTGAAATTGCCAGTGGAGATGAAGACCCAGGATTCAAGAAAAGCCAGGGTAGATGAAAGGGTCAGGCACCGAGTCCACATACACAACACAAAGGCCCATTAGGCTCTGGCTCCTGCGTGGCGGAGCTGCTGCTTAAGTCTTCCAACACCATGCCAACAGATTGGTGGAGCTGGTTGCCCCCCCCCCAACAATATTTTATGAGGAGTCTGTTTTATTAAAATATTTTCCGCTGGATGCTTCCTGTGTTTCAAGAAGTTGGTCTTGCCAGCTGGAGCTGATGACAGTTGAGAAAAACACATCCAAGTGCTGTTGTGACATGGCATTTGGAAGTGGAGGAGCATGGGGGGTGGGGAGGGCTGGGGGGATGGCAGCCTGGAAGAGACGCAGGAAAACACCCGGGTGGCACCAGAAATGTCACTGGCATGATGAGAGCACAACTTCCCTTCCTCCGCATCAAGAAAATGTGAAGAGAAACCCTCGTACTGACGTCCTGAAATACACCTCCCTCCTCTAGGTCTGAGTTGCTGTGAGGTGTGGTCACAGAAGACCTGCCATTTGTTTTCTGTTACAGCTGATTCACCACTTTCCCCCTCCCCCGAACCAGCCCCAGGCTTCTGCTGGCTCATCTCAACTCCTGATGTGTCCTGAAAAGAAAGGTAAGCATATTGCAAAAGGAAACTGAGAGTCATACTGACGCAGCTTAGGAAGTCACCAGAAAAAATACAGGGAAGATTCAGTCTCTATCTGGTTTAGGAGAGCAACAGTCGATATCAACAGGGTTACAAAGTCCAGCTTCTCAGCAGGAATCTGGCTACACAATGGGCAATGCTTTTCTATACAATGGGAGAGTGCAGAGGTTCTGTGCAATGTAGTGATATTCTGGTTTAGCAACTCCATCGCTACAGTTCCAGGGCCTGTATCCCAGTACAGATACAGTGGCAGAGAAGTGACTAAGGAAATAAGTCAGTTTCCTTCCCTCAGGAGAAATCTGTAGGGCCAGAGGATATCGGAACTATGCAGCTTTCTCTCCACAAGGGGGCAATCATCATCCACCATCAGGGAGCTGCCTGGACCTCATTCCCCATTCCCACCATCCTATTGTGCTAGGCACCAGTTAAGTCTGCACAACTTCAAGAGTGTTCTCTTCCAAATCTCACATAAGCAGTACTAGAAAGGCATACACATGTACACACACACACACTCTCTCTAACTCTCTCGCTCTCTTTCACCTGAACTTTCTATGCAAGTCTCAATCAGTTTCTAGGAAAAGTGAAGTGCACTACAACCTGGGTTAGGCCACAGCTTGACATTTCAGAGTTACTCCTTTTGGCTCTAGTTCCGGCTAGGATGTGCCATCTCCTTATAAATCCTTTCCCTGAGAAATGTTTGGAAAGCAGTCCCTTCAGAAAGGCTATTCCCTTTTCCACTCAAAGGACTGATTTTTTTTTTTTTTTCCAATTCCTCCAACAACTCCAGACCAAGATGGATCTGTGCACTTTCTTTAGACATCCCGGAAGCCAGTGAGTGGCTGCTGAACTATCCGTGTGTCTTGGGAACAAAGGGAAGTAGCTCTGGAGTGGGGTTTTGAGCCCAGCCACTAAGGTGGCTCAGCCTCTGTATACAAAGCTTGTGGCTGCATCCTCATTCTCCTCATCTATCCAACAGTCACTTGGGATGTGGCCGATGCAGGTTCTAGGATAGTTCCTCAGCATATCCCAGGGAGCCCACATGCTGTGCACAAGTGAAAAGGGGGCTGAGCAAATCTTTGTGCATAAATCTGAGCAATAGAGAGAGACCTTATGCCCCACCAGACCTAGGGAGAGGGTAGCCTCGTTAAATAGCTGCCCGTTGCCAGTTCTCATCTATAAACTCTATGTCTCCAGCATAAGAAGCCTGGGACCTTCCTCAATCTTGTCTGAGTGCCCCTTGGGTCTCATCACTCTGAACCCAGACCAGGTACCCAGCTCCTCAGCTTCTGAGGCCTCTTGCTGATATGACAGCCAGACGAGCAGAAGAACACGCAGAAGCCAGTACTGAAGGCAAAGCCCTGCTCCTGACTGACCCCTTTGTAAAACACCTGCTCAGTGCTCCAGGGAGCACAACATACTGGCTCTCCTATGTTCTTCCAGACAGACGAGCGGAGGGGCATAGGTACTCACTGCTCAGGGCTTGAGACAGATGTCCTCCGGCCTTCCGTGGTGATATTGCTCTTCGGTCTCTTGACGACATGGGGACGGGGTGGGCGCACCTAGAATGGGCACAGGGAAACCCCCAAGGAGTGAGTTGGAAAAGCCATACAGGGACATCGTGAAGGTTTAGATAAGCATTCCAGAAGAAATGTTTGGGGATCTTCAAGGTCCAGGCTACAAAAGCCCCACTCATCCTGGAAAAACCACCACTTTGTGTGCTGCAGATAAGATGCATTACTAGGAATTCTGTGGCCCATTCAAATCAGGAAAATTCTCTTCACCTGCAGGATGGGGACAGACTCTCTGCCTCCTTGTTGTCAGGCTGTGACGGTGGCTCTTAGCCACAGAACCCAGACACCTGAAAGGTTTCACTGAGATTTTTTTTGAAATACGCATGCTTAATTTTGCTCTTTTATAGTCAAATCCCATCCCATGCTTCCTCAAATGGGAAGGGGGAATGCAAATACCAACATCGGAGAGTCCTGATGGAAGCTGTTTTGCTTCCCAGGGTCTCCCGTGACAGTCCTCCAGCAGGGCTCAGCCAGCTGTTGTCCCTGTGTGGCCATGCTCATGGCGCAGACCTGGTGGAGGAAGTGGATGGCTTCCTAATCCTGTAGTTAGAGCCGCGGTGCCAAGATGGGTTATTCCAAGCTGCCACCTCTGAAAGCCCACAGAATAAGACGCCTCCCTCCCCAGGAGAGTCTGTGAATGGGTGTCAGGCTGAGAATTTCTAGGTATGTGTAGAAGAAACTCATTGAGTCCAATCAACATTCCATGGTACCACCATCTCTGACCGTTTCCAGTGTTGGAGAGGGGGAAGGGAAAGCTCTAAGCTAAGAAAGTCCCTGTGCATTCCATTGACAATAAAAACAGCCGAATGCTGAGGGCAGTGCACAGGGCTTGCTTTCCCTGCATACATGAGACCACACTTGCTGGATTTGCGAACAAGATGGGGAAAAGAGGGTGCATGAACTCCTGGCTGCTCTTTTCCTTAACACCTCTGCTGGCAATCTATGGGTAACACAGCACAGTGGCTCAGGAGCAAGATTATAGAAGTTGGCCACATACTAGACAAGTCTTTATAGGGTCCCATCTGATCCTCAGGTTTGCGCATGTCTGATCTAACCAAAGTTTTTCCTGTGAAGCAGCCAGTTTGAGCTCAGCTTTGTTTGGCAAAGTAGAGGTGTGGTAAAAGCCAAATGCATTCCATCAAACCTGCTTTGTCTTCTTCCATGGACCCATTGTAAAGTACAGGGAACACTGCAAAGTGGTGTTCCACTGCTACATAGTGGGAGCTTTGTAAATGCTTATCCTGCTTCTCAGTGACATGTGTGCGTGTGCGCATGTATGTATGTGTGTGCACATGCATGTGCCAGTTGTGGGGCTTGAACTCAGGGCCTAAACACTGTCCCTGAGCTTTTTGGCTGAAGACTAGTGCTCTGCCACTTGAGTCACAACTCTACCTCCAACTTTTTGGTTAATTAGAGATTAAGAGTCTCACAGACTTTCCTGCCTGGGCTGTTTTTTTAACCATGATCCTCAGATCTCTGCTTCTCGAGTAGCTGGGATTACAGGCGTGAGCCATTGGTACCCAGCTTTTTTTTTTTTTAAACCAATAACAAAGGAAGACCAGGGTGTCTCTGCATTAGAAGTTGGATCACAGGTTGATCTTATCCCTCTTAATAACCTGTGCAGTACCTAGTGTGTGTGTATATATATATATATATGTATATATATATACATACATATGTATATGTATAATATATACTTATATATATATAGTGGCAAGATTTGTAGAAACACACAAATGTTGTTGCATGGTGTCCAAGAGGTGCAGAATGCTGCCACTATTACTGTCATTATTAATAGAAGGGCACCTGCCATTCAGCAGACATTTGGTCATCATTTGCTGAACAAACAAATAGATACATTCACCCCTATTCTAGCTGCACGTTGGCTTCCCTAGAGCAGCTCGGCTCCTTTGGCAGCCGTACACGGGCTCCCCTGACTGGAGGGTTCCCCCAGCCTCTCCCCACAAAGGCGATGCAGCTGGAGTGAGGAGCAGGCCTGTCCTCGGCTGGGCCGGGGCAGGCGCTCAGGAAAGGTCAGACATTAAGCCTGTCAGCTCGTCCTGAACAGCGCTGTGCCTCGCTACAATAAAGGCGGGTTAAGAATGTGAACTTGTGGCTGAAATGGGGGGATTAAGTTTGTGGCAACTTCAACTGAACTTGCAACGTGGTGAAACATGGGGAAAAAGAACAACAGAGCTAATTAGACGAGCTGAGCTGTCAGAGTGCCGCTGAATGGCTCAGCGCCAACAAACAAAAGGAATGGGTTGGCAATCAGCAGGATCGATGGAGGAGACTGCTTCATTAGGGATGATAAAACAGACAGAGGAGGGAGAGGAAGGGGGAGGCGTGGGGGAGGAGAGGAAGACACAACAGACCAGAGACAGTCACCCTGGCGGTTACAGACCCACCCGGAGACACACACACACACATACCTCAATGCTGTGGACAAAGCCAGACACAAACCTCCTAGACAACCACCTAGATATACCAAGGCCTGGGGACTGTGACTTACACACAATCTAATATCATCCACAAAGGTGTGAGCAAGAGGTAAAAAACATACAAATCATACATGCACACATTACCTCCCTCCCCCCACCCCCTCCACACACACAGTGGTAGACTACAACCAGACCCAGACACACATAGGCAACAAGGTTTAATTAGGCCTGATTCCTAAGATGATGCAGACAACCCCCTTTTGGGGGGCTTGGGCTAGGTGGGGGCTGGGTGGAAGGAGAAAAGCCACCCGCACACACACAGGGGCGGCCCACCACAGCCTGGATCCCAGTGGTGCCCGGGGAGAAAATGCTAAACAGGGATTTCCAGCTCTGTTCGGGGGGACCGGAGGGGAAAGTTGGGAAGCCAGCCAATTCCCGCTGGATTTAAAACCTGAGAAATCTAAGTCGGCAGGGTTAAATGTGCATTGAATACAAAAGCACGAGTACATTTGACTTTAATGGTGAGCAAGAAATAATAAATACAGAGCTTATAAAGTGCTTCGCATGCAGGCCGACCACAGCCTGCCTCTCTCCTGTGAGCCCTAGCACTGCCCTTCGTGGGTGAGACACCGGCATGGTTTGCTGCTTGTTGTTATTGTTTTCCTTCTTTTAAGAAGGGAATCCAAATCCTCTGTTCATAACTGAACTCCAGACACTTGTGCCAGGCTGCAAAGCTCCCTGTAGTAAGGCTGAGTGGCCAGCGGCCCCACTGTTGACCTAGGCGATGTGACCCAGCAAGGGCTGGCTGGGCCACGTCCTGGTGTGGACACTATCTCTCTGAGACCCTGGGGGGGGGGGTGCCCTAGGCCTCCCTGGCTCCCACCCAGGGTGCCGTGGTGACTGCTGGAACTGCTTGCTTGAATGCATGCAGACTTAGCAGCTTGGATGGCCTGCAGCCTTTGGGCCCCAGAAAGCATAAATCTTTTAGGGCTCCCAAAGGTTCAGGGATATGTGCCTGAATCACACACACACACACACACACACACACACACACACACACACACTCTCTCTCTCTCTCTCTGTCTCTATCCAGGCCACAGATATGCCCTCACTAGCTTCATCATGTGAGCTTGCTAAACTCACTTCACAGATGATACAACTAAGGCTCAGAGAAAGCAAGCAAGGGTATTCTCTAAGGTTACGTGGCCAGGAAGTCCAGGGCAGGCACACCATAAACCCAGTGGAAAGGGAACCGAGCGCCAGGCTAGTCACTGCCTGCCCAGGCCAGGCGCAGGTGCAGCTGTTACCCAGACTTCTTCAGGAGCCACCTCTGCCTCCCAAAGTCCTCAGGTATCAGTGGATGGGCCAGACACTCCCTATTCTGCATGGGGCTCCACAGTGGTAACAAAACAGAATCCACTCTGGCCATTTCCAGGACTTGAGTTTCTCAATGGGGACTGACTCCCTATCTTCCCTCGATCCCAGGCCCCTAAGAACTGAGCTCCTCACTGGCTTGGGAGCTGTGTGGTGAGGGGCACAAGAGGTAGGCCTGGCCTCTCTATGGCGGAAATGCTTCTGCCTGCTGTGGGTACAATAAGGACAAATGAGACAATCACCACTCATGTGCCTCATGCAGGCCTAGACACACTGGTATACACCCCAAGATGGTGATTCTTGTCCTCTGTGTCCTGCTGGGACCTACATGGCTCGAGATTTCAAAGTAAGCCTAGCTGGCTACTGAGGAATTCATTTTTTTTCTCTAATTAAGACTTTGCCCTAACCCTAAATGCTAAGTCCAGCTCTTTCCATAGAGATGGAGGTTCCAGGAAGTTTGGGGGTGCTGAGGAATATAGGGTACTACAGCTTGGTGATCTCTGGTAAAGGACTTGGGTTTAATTACTAAGCATCTGTTTTTCATCTGTAAAATGGGCAGTAACAATGCCTACTTCATAGAGCTACTTACTGTGAGAATAATTGGGATGAGGCACCTAACAATGATTGGGAGGAGGGCGGGGGCTGTAAAATCTTAAATGAATTGTGTGTGTGTGTGTGTGTGTCTGTGTCTCTGTGTGTGTGTGTGTGTATGTGCCAGTACTGGGGCTTGAGCTCAGGGCCTTGCATTCTTGCTCGGCTTTCTCATAACAGCTAATGTTCTACCACTGGAGCCACAACTCCACTTCTGGCTTTTTGATGATTAATTAGTCTGACTTCCCTGCCTAGGCTGGCTTCAAACCTTGATCCTCAGATCTCAGTGTCCTGAGTACCTAAGTTACAAGCACAAGTCACCCAGCACCTGACCCAAATGATTGTGTGTATGTGTGTGTAGGTCAGTCCTAAGGCTTGAACTCAGGGCCTGGGCACTGTCTCTGAGGTTTTGGGCTCAAGGCTAATGTCTACCACTTTGAGCTAAAGTGCCATTTCCAGCTTTTTTGTAATTAACTGGAGGTAAGTCTCATAGACTCTGCTGCCCAAGTTGGCTGTGATTTGTGATTCTCAGATCTCAGCCTCCTGAGTAGCATGAACTATCAATACCTGGCCAAATGATTT